ACCCACTGGCCTGTGATCTTCCTGCATTCAGCATTATTGCATGTGTCTTGTGAGTTTGAAGAGGATTTTATAGATTGGTGTCGGACATATGGGCTAATATCGGACTTAAGGCCTTGGACTGGACTGGGGCGCTTTCTTAATGTATAATTACCCTTTATATAAAACTCTCATACACAAACAAAATGTTGGTAAAAACTAAAAAAAGAAAAAGAAAGCCCATCATGGCCTTATCTAGCATTACTGTACAGGACACCCAGGTGTGCCGTAATTGCTCTCTCATTTCTAATGAACAGAGCAGGTCCTAACAATCAACATATGTGCCTTACGGAGAGATGATTGCCCTCTAAAAAGAGGAAGGGCTCTTCTTTGGTACCAGTAAATCTAGAATAATATATTGGGCAATAAATGTTTGCTGTGTACCACTTTCAATACCCAGCTTTACTTTTGCTTGCCCCTTCTATTATCTGGTTCATAGATATGGTTGCCTGGTTACTGTTTACAGCTGGGCGGAACTAGGGCTTGCTTGGATATGAGCCAAGCCTGTGATGGAAGCGTGACTTCCCAGAACTTTGGGCAATGACCATGAGGAGTGCCGTTCTTTCTACTCATGCCTATCCTGTGTGTTCTGTAATCCACACCCGCGGGACATTCTCCAAGAATGAGCTTGTGCTCAGGTCGTCCTTCACTCAGAGCTTATTTACATGAGGGCATTCCAGCTCATAAATGCACCAGTTTACTCCAAATAACACGCTTAAACATGTCTCTGCTATCAGTGGGTGGCTGCAGACAAGTTACTTCAGTGATGAATTTGACTTAGTCCACTGAGGGTGCCTTCCAACAAAGGACCCAGTTGGGACAGCTTTCGAGGAGGGATCTGTTAAGCCGCTAAATTCTATGCAAAATAGAATTTTATGAAAAAACTGTTTTGGGGACTTCAAAGGGATCATCTCGATCTTCCTGAAGGATACAGGATGATCACAAGGGCTTATTATGAAATTTTTTCATTAAAAATTATTTACAGAAAATGGAAAACTGCATTAGTCAGAAAATCATCAAGAAAGTTGTGCCATGAAAAAAATTTCCCCATTCATTCTTTGAAAGGAGCACAGGCTATCCTGTGAGCACTCCATTGCAAGGCCTTACCCCATCCACTCTATAGCTCTGATCTTGTCCCTTTAACCTGGCAACCTAAAAAAAAAATAGCCAAGCAAACTCACTGCTATCGAGTCGATGACGACTCATATTGACCCAGGAGGACAAGGTAGAAGTGCCCGGTTTCCAAGACTGTTAACTATTTACAGAAGTAGGAAGTCCCATCTCTCTACAGGTGGTTTGGAACTGCTGACCTTTTGGGTCACAGCCCCGTGTGTAACCACTATGTTGCCAGGGCTCACACTGCCCTCCTCAGACAGCATTTGAAAGATGATTTGAGTCCCTCTTCCGAAACGCCAAAAATGCTATTTTGACATTGTGTAATTGAAAGTGTGCAAAATTATTTGGGGGGAGGGTTGGAGAGACTGAAATACTACCTTCAGAAGTTTATAGACCTAGATGGAAGACTGTGAAATAGGTTTTATTTTTTTTTAATAGAGGTTTCTATAGTATTCTAACAATACTTTTTGATTTAGGATTGTACAGTGACATTGCGTTACCACAGATGTTAAAATGATAGTGGTTAATAACAATTCAAACATTTATAGGTTACCAAACAGGTCCAATATTACTGTATTAACTGAAAGCATCAGAGAACCTGATGTTTAAGGGCATGAGTCACAATGCAGCATTATTCAAGGTCGTTCTTGTTAAACTTTGAACACATACAACAGAAGACTCATGTTCATCATACAAATTTTGACTATGGTTATTTTCATATTTTTTCTTTGTAGAAAATTATAGGTACACTATAACTATTATTAATGTATATATCATTCTATAAACAATTGTCTTGATCATTACGTCGCATACGGCCAGAAAGCAAGTCATGACTTCTAAGTCAATGGCTTATTATTCAGTGACTACGAACATTCGTTTTGTGTATGGAGTTGAGGCAGTTTATAGAAATAGAATACAGTAATAATTATTTTTCCTCACCTGGTTTTCCTTTTTTTTAAAAAATTGGAACAGGATTTGGAAATGGACATTGGTTAAGGCAGGGTAGATCATTTAACATGTCATCCTAGTAAACAGTTTCTTAAGAATACAACGGGAGCATGTAATTTTCTGCTATACCGCAATTCTTAAATGAATTAAATGACTTTGTTTCACAGAAAAATACTATACTTCCAACAAAAAAAATTTTTTAAATGTAATAATTTTTAATTATTAAGTAGTTAATGACCACTTCCAAATACACAAAGCAAAGTCATAAAACTGAACTAGAAAAGCAGGCACATTCACAATCATACGGAGAGATTTTTACACACCTTTCTGGCAACTGACAGAAGATTAGAACAATATAAATAATTGATATAATTGACACCTATCATAATTGATTCTCATTACTGTGAATTCCACATTTGTGAATTTATGTACTCCCTAAAATTTATTTATAGCCTCAACAGCAAAACCTGGAGTGCTTTCAACAAAACTTTTAAGATGCACCAGTGACCAATAACGTTCAACAAAGAAACACAGTGATCAAAATCTTTAACTGTCCGCCTTTTAACACGCATTTAACAAACATATTCAGTCTTCATTGTCTGAGCAAATCAGTTTCAGTTTCTTCATAGTCCGCCACCTGTCTTTTAACATGACGCTTGTTCGGTTGTTGAATTTATAATGTAACAGTATTTTAGTCCAGTTTCCCTCTCCATATTTCCTCACACCAGATCGCAGCTTCGTGTCTTCTTCCCAAAGCCATACCTTTTGATAAAAAGCGAATTATTTATAACAGAAACAATTCTTTAAGAGTACATCAATTGTAAAAGCAATTGTTTTATAATGACACTTAGTTCTTATGAATGAATGGATTTCAAAATATGCTGACAGTCCATTTTCCATGTAAATACACTGTGACTGTTGTCACCAGCAACAGCTAGAAAGTAAGTCATGTGCCAATCCAATCTGATTTTCTACACTTGTAATTGATTGATATTATTCCGTAATTCCTTGCACGTAATTGCATACATTGGTCAGATGGCTAGCTAGTCTTCAGTTTAGTACTTATCAAAACTAACAGTTCACAAGGGCTCTGAACCTATGCTATCTCTAACATAGCATTCTAGTCAAGGAATTTAACCTGAAAAATGAATGACACCAAACTTCAAACCCATTAGGCCTAGACTCTCAATGTGAAATGTAGTTAACATGGCCCAGCTAGCTATAATCCCTTTTGTGATATAAATTCTAGCCTTTATGCCAGTGGTTAGAATCTCAGTTTTTTTTGGGAGGGAACTCTTTGTTATGGTAATGAACAGGATTAGGGTGGGAGGTATTCTGAGTTTTCACCTTAAGGTGGTGGTTAAGTAACATTGAGTTGGTTCTGACTTATAGTGGCCCTGTGTACAACAGAACGAAACAATGCTCAGTCTTGTGCCATTGTCACACTTGTCCCTATGCCTGAGCCCAATGTTGCATCCACTATACTATGTCAATCCATCTCATCCTTACTAGGGGATGGGAACCAAGTCACCGCCCTTTGTTTCCTTGGGGGTATGGTGTGTTGAAAGACAAAAACCACCCCTTCTATCAGAGAGCTGTCATGGAAGCAGAAAGAGAAATTCCAGGCTAATCAAGGAACACAGCCAGCAGTGAAACACTGTGGAGATCTCTGTCTGAAGTAGAGACTAAGACCAGAAGTGCAAGGTGACCTTGAGACAGAACAGAGGAGCAGTGCCAAGACTATGAGACTGTGAAGCGGAGCAGAAGGCTGGTTTCCTGGCCCAGGGAGGCAGAGGCTAAGGAACCATGCATGTAGCTGAGGACAGATGCTAAGGACCAATGACTATCTTTTACGTTTCTGGATCCTGGCTTGTGGTAATCTGTTTACTTCCCTAATAAACCCCCTAATCATGAGTACTGTCAGTGAGTTCTGTGCGGCAACTGCAATAGATGATTGAACCCAACAGAAAAGTACTGAGCCTTAGGAGGAAAGGTTGGTGGCAGAATAATGTAAAAGTAGGATGGAGGCAGGTCTGTAGCCAGAAGTGGTCAGATATGGCCTCTGCGACATTTCCTCAGCGGAGTAAAATGTAACTATTAATAGAGAAGAATATTTAATAGTTAATTAATAAGTAGCAAAACTTGCTCAGCTTATGTTAGAGGAGTCTCATACATGCACTTGCACCCCCCAATCTAATCTAAAATATTTTTTCTAAACTATAATTAATTTTAAATAGTATTTGATTTTGGACAAAATCACCAGGAACTATAAACCAAGTTCATTGTGAATGATTGGAAATCAATTTAATATTGTTAACATACATAGAAAAAAAATTACTGATACACTGGAATTTGCCAAAAAATTATTTCTTCAACTGTCATACTAAAAGAGTGCTGAGCTGTACTTTGTGACTAGATTACTAACTCCCTGGCTTTTACATTTTCTTTAAAAATTCAGTTCAGTTGTGTGAAACAATGGGAAAAAGCTCAAGGTGTCTTGGAGAAAATCAAGAAATGAGAACCATGTGGCTCAATCCCATAAAGCTAGCAGTGAGCACAAAAACTGTTTGTAGCAATTTGAGCAGCCTCCTGCCCAACTTCCTTGCTATTGCCACTTCCTCTCCTTAGTGACTCAAACCTGGCCTCTTCCCGACAGGTTTTGATATGCTGCCTGTGAACACATATCAGCTGCTCCATTTCTAAACAAAGAAAGACTGCCTCCCATGATCTTTCATTACCATGTTCCTCGGCTCATTTCCCTCAGCAGTCACCTCTCCCGTAAAGGCTCGCCACACTGTCTGCTATGCACCGACCGACACACAGCCACTTCAGCAGAGGGGTTACTAACATCTGAGGTCCCATTACTCAGCAAGAATGTGATTAAAGCAATGAATTCACACCACAGAACAGCAGATATATCTAAAATTTTATTTAGTTTTACGAGGATCACAATCCCAAAACCAAAACAAACACTGCTGTTGAGTTGATTCCAACTCAAAAAGAACTCTACAGACTAGAGTACAACTGCTCCATATGGCAGAACTGTCCCAAGGCAACTGCTCTGAAGGAGACTGCCTTATCTTTTTGCCTGGATTCAATCTTTTGGACAAAAGCTGAGCGCTTTATTGAATCACCAGGACCTACCTATAAACCAAGCCAAACCAAGTTCACTGCCATTGAGTATTCCAACTCATAACGACTCTCCATCACTTGTCCACTGGTCTGTCAATTTGTTATACTGAGGCAGCCCGGGTGTTGCTGTAGGCTACATTTCACTGACATTTCAAATGCCAGCAGAAAGCACAAGGTCATTAGAAAGACAGGAAATAAACCTAAGATCAAAGTAGATGTCAGAAAAGACTCTGAAACTTGTTCTTTATCATAGAAAAGCTAAAGCAAATAGCAGAAAGGATGCCAAAGAGCTGAATAGAAAATTTCAAAGGGCAGCTAGAGAAGACAAAGAAAAAGTAGAAGGGCAGCCAAAAGACAAGGTAAAATATTATAACGCGAAATGTGCAAAGACCGAGCATTAAAAAACCAAAAAGGAAGAATAATTCAGTATATTTTAAATTGAAAGAATTCAAGCCGCAATACTGAAAGATTCTATTGGCAAAATATTGAATGATGTAGGAAGTATCAAAAGAAGATCGAAATAATACAGACATTATACCCTAAAGAACTAGTAGGCAGTCCACTATTTCATGAGGATGCATATGAGCAAGAACCAATGGTGCTGAAGGAAGAAGTTCAAGCTACACTAAGAGTATTAGCCAAAAACAATTCAGGAAATTGACTGAATAACAATTAAAATATTTCAACGAACTGATGAAGCACCAGAAGCACTTACTTATCTATGCCAGGAAATTTGGAACCCAGTTAAGTGGCCACATAAGTGAAGAGAAGGTTATTTGTACCCAATTCAATGAAACATACCTAACAGAACGTTCAAATTCAAAACAATCTCACTGATATCATATGAAAGTAATATTTTGTTGAAGATCATCTAACCGAGTGTACAGCAGTACACAGACAGGGAGCTGCAAGAGATTCAGGCTGGATTCAGAAGAGGATGTGGGATGAGGAATATCAATGCTGATATAAGATGGGTCTTGGCTCAAGGTAGAGATTACCAGAAAGATGTTTACTTGTGCCATATTGACTATGCCAAAGCATCTGATTATGTGGATAACAAACTTGAGCAGCTTTGAAAAGAATGGGAATGTGCTCATGTAGAACGTGTACAAGGATCTGAAAGAACACGGCACCCCCATATACGTAGAGTTGAATTGTCCACAGGGTCTTTCTTCATGGCTCTGACCTTCCAGAATTAGATCTCCAATTATGTCTTCTAAGGTGCCTTTCGGTGGGTTCACACCACTCACTCAATGGCTAACAGTACAGCTCCTAACCAGTAGAGAGAGCTTTATGATGCTACAAAAAACAAAGCCAAACCATTTCTAAACCTAGAAACTATCAGAAAGTATTCTTTCTTTTCTTTAAACTACGGAAGAATCTTATTTAATTGGACCCAAGTTAGAAAGATTTGAATATAAAAACATGTAAATATAGATTTAATTCCTATTTACAGCCAATAAAGGAGGCCCAGTGGTACTGTCCATTAAGCACTGGACTGCTAACCACAAGATAGGGAGTTCAAACTCATCAGACATTCCACAGGAGCAAGATAGGTTGCCTGCTCCTATGAAGATTTATAAAGCCCCAGAAGCAGGAATAGAAAGTTTTATCTTTTACTCACAGAATGGATGATGTTCTCAGTACAGACTTTGGGTTAACAGTCCAACTGATAATCCACCACGCCGCCAGGGCTGTCCTACAGGCTCACTTAAAATCAGAATCAACTCAGTGGAGGTGGGTTCAGTTTTGGTGTTCAGTCAATGAAAAGACTTAATGATAGTTTCAAAATAATTTTTAAAAGATTTTTTTAAGTGGATATCAATACTAGACTTAGGTGATTTTAAAAACAGAGATGAAGCATTTTCTTAGAACTATGAAAAGGATTATTAGTCAAAGATGGCAAAGAACATTTTTATATTATACTCATTTTTTTTCACTTATAGTAATTTGAAAGTTATAGTTTTCAATAATCTGTGTAAATCAATAATAATAATAATACCTGTTTTTTTCGAGGTCGATTCTTTTCAGAACGGTCTCGCTCTTCATTTAAAAAAGATCTTGTCTTCATTCCACGGAATCTTCCATGGTTTGTTTTTCTTCGACCTAAGAGTAGAATGGTAACATCAAATATTAGTTATTCATATTAAGGGACATCAAAAAAAGGGGGGAAGCTATATTTTTTTAGAGGTTACCATAACATTTCTATTTATTTTGTAGCTATTTCTAAAGAAAAATAACTCAACTTGTGTAATTTTTGTGTTCTTCAAATCTGGAAGCAATTTAATATAGTGTAAATATCAAGCCTTTGAAAACTTGAAGGAATGTGTTTGAACATTGATTCTCTTGAATGTCTTTCCAACAAATTCTCTCACTTCTCTGAATCTGCCTTTGATCATCTGCTAAAAAAAGAATAGTATTTCCTTTATAGAATCTTTGAAGAGTTAAGATAATGTTAAGGAGTAGTTGGCAACAGTTTAAGAGGCATAACACTTTCTTCATTCCCTCGAATTCAGTAAGTTTCGTATGATAAGAAATAAAACAAAACTGTAATTATTGAAAGATGATCTTTTAAAATATATAACCCCCCTGAAGAACCTACTAATAGAATTAAAAAGGATTTAGGGAACATGGCTGGATATGAGATTAATATACAAATTAAATAATGGACTCTCCCCACAAACGTTCTGAAGGCTGTATATCTTATTTGTCCAATGTATGTATAACTATGAGAAGTTTTAATTTAAAAGTTAGGCACAGTAAGAGATTTGACAACAATAAAATTTCTAAAGCAAGTGATAGGTAAGTGAAGGGAACTACACCATGACAACAGTGTAACTGTTCTTTTGGGGGTGTGGGGAACAACTTGTTTGCTACAGTGTTTTGCTGTTTAAACAAAAAGTGCTAGGCCCTTGACCCTAGGGTCTTCAACTACAGTAGTACTAGCACTCATCTGGTTGCATTGTATTGCCTCATGGGACATGGATCAGGTGAATACTCATGCTGCTTGCTATCCTGTGTTAGTCGGGATAGACTAGAGAAACACATTCATAGATACTTCTGGTAGATACATAATCTGGTGGCAATTTGGGACTTGAGAAGATTAAGAGTGAAAGGGTGGCGTGTAGTCTGTCAATTGGATCATAGCCAATGAGGCCTCTGTGTGGGCATGGCCCTCTCCTGAGAATTCTGGGAAATCCTATTTTTCCTCCTTGCGAGGCGGAAGACAGTTCTCTCTGCTCACTCCCTTGGAGATGCTCTACTGATAAGGCATGTGGTGCTACGCCCTGGGAGCTGGAGAAGCCACATAGAGAACCCTGCCAGTGCTGAGATGCTAGCAGCACCACTAGATCCACCAAACTTCCAACCCATTGGCCTGTGATCCTCCTGCATTCGGTATCATTGCATGTATTTTGTGAGTCTGAAGAAGACTATATATATTGGTATCAGACATATGTGAAAATATTGGACTTATGGACTTGATCTGGACATTTTCTCAATATATAATTGTTCTTGTATATAAACCTCTTTCTTATTTACATGAGTCTCTATGAATTTGTTTCTCTAGTATACCTGGACTAACACAATACTCATATGTGTATAAGAAAGAGCTTTATATAAAAGACCAATTGTATATTGAGAAAACATCCAAGCCCAGTCTAGATCAAGTCTTTAAGTCTGATATTAGCTCCTATGTCCGATACCAGTCTATAAATTCCTCTTCAGACTCATGCAGCACATGCAATGCCACCGAATGCAGGAAGATCACAGGCCAGTGGGTGGAAAGTCTTGTGGATCAAGTGACAGTGGAAGCATCTCAGAGCTGCTGGCAGGGGTCTCTCCACATGACTCCTCCAGCTACAGGGCTCTAGCTCCATCAGCGTAGCTCCATGTGTCTTGTCAGCAGGAAGATGAAGCAGAGAGAGATCCTTGGTCTGGCCTCCAGTGAGCTATTTATCTCCTTAACGCCTCCAAATGTGGTCATCTAACTGCAACCTGATTCACAGGATAAACCTCACTCCTTCACTCTTAATAGTCTCAAGTTGACACCAAATTATGTAACTATCACACTGAGTCTTGGTACCTATGGAAAACTGGCAGGTTTCCATCTTGGTGTTTCTCTTGAGGCTGGTTTTCTTCCTGACATATGGAAGTCTAAAACACCAAGAACACCCAAGATAAGCTTGAAGAAGACCAAGATGAAGGAAACTATTCTGAAGCATATTAAGTCATTATGAAACTATAAATCACATACTGTGACAGGACATAATTAAGCTATCACAGCCCAACCACCTACAAAAAGTTTTTCTTGGTGTCTTAGTTTTTAGGCCTGTTCCTGGAGTTATTTGGGGAATTGAGAAAATTACATTGAATAGACCACATCAGCCTTAGTTTCTTAGATGTGGTGTTCCACTGTATTTTCAGCTATTAAGCTATAATTTATTTATGATCCCAGTTGTAAATATGAGAATTCAGACCCACAAATTACAGAAACGGTAAGAAATGAAAAAAAAAAAAAAGGTATTAAGGGACTTCTGAGGGAACCTGTATTTGGACCCATGGTGGCTGGTGGTTACATAGTGAGCTACCAAAAGGTTTGGAAACCCTAAGGGGTTAGTAGTTCTCCTCTGTCCTATAGGAACACTGAGTTAGCATCAATTAGATGGCTGTGTTTTCTGGTACAAAGGTAAGTTATACCATATTTATAACAAGACTGGAGCTTGACCCATTTGGGGTTTCAAAATACTAAAGTCACTATTTATTGAACTAAGCTCACTACCAGACAGGTGATTATGGTTCACAGTGATCGTATAGGGCAGAATGGAACTTTTCCAGTGGGTTTCTGAGGCCATAAGTCATTCTGAGAGCCGAAAGTCTTTGATTTCTTCTGCAGAATGGCTGATAGCCTCAAATAGCTGACCTTGCAGTTAGCAGTCAAACATATGGCCCACTACACCATCATGGCTCCTATTTATTGTACAGTAACTCTTGCTTCGGGCCCACTTAAGATAACACATTGGAGCTGCTTGCTATTCAGTTCCTAATAAAGGTGAAGTGATACTTGGGGAAAATTCATTCATGTAACATGTATTGCTCAAATATATCTTTGGATCAAAGAACACCATGTGAAGCATAACTTGACATAAGTGCTTAGTACAACACAAACTATTTTATTATTTCGTTATAAGATAATTTTATTGGGGGCTCTTACAGCTCTTATAACAATCTATACATCAAATATCCAGCATATTTGTACATATGTTGCAATCATTATTTTCTAAACATTTGCTTTCTATTTGAGCCCTTGGTATCATCTCCTCGTTTTAACCTCCCCTACTCCCATGACCCTTTGACAAATGATAAATTATTATTATTGTTTTCATATCTTACACTGACCACTGTCTCCCTTCCCCCATGGTTCTTCCCGCCCCCTCCCCTCTACTCTCCTTGTACTGCTACTCTCACTTCTGTTCCTGAGAGGTTTAACTGAACTGACCTGGATTCTGTGTCATGAACTCTTTATCTGTACCTGTGTACTGCTCCAGCCTAACCTGCAGTGAAAAGCAGAATTGGAGCCATGATAGTGGGGATGAGGAAGCCTCAAGGAACCAGAGGAATATTTCACATCTCATCAGTGCAATGCTTCCCCCTGGTTAGCTTATCCCTTCCTGGTGAACCTTCTGTGAGGGGATGTCTCATTGACGACAGATGGGTTTGAGGTCTCTGCTCCAACCGTTCTCATTCTCAACATGTTTTTTGTTTGTTTTGGGTCTTTTGATGCCTGTTACTGAATCCTGTCAACACATGATCACACAGGCTGGTGTGCTTCTTCCAACACAAACTGCTTTAAATGAAGTTAGCAGGTACTTCCTCTATCTCAGACTAGCTAAAACTACATTAAAATAGTCTTGATTTTTTTATGAATGAGTAAAACATGGTATATGGCATATGTTCTGTACTCCAAAAGCTAGAGCTGAAAGGGGAACACTGGTACCATTTTTGGAATCAGCAGGTTAAAAACACCCAGAAATAAGTCTAACACTCGCAGCACCCAAATTTGTGTTGGCCAGTGTATTTGATATGTCTTGGTTAGGCTCTAGTCAGAATGACAGGACCATCAACTGCAGGCCTACTGTATGCTTGGCATCAAACTGACACCACATTGTCAATGAAAAATTTCACTGTCAGTTTGTTGTGCTGTTGTGGCCTATATGTTATGATGCTGAAAGCTAATTCTATTGGTATTTAAAATATTAGCACAGTCATTCATAGTGGACAGATATGGCAAGTTTTATAGTACGACAGAGTAGGAAGAAAAGTTTAGAAATTTGCTTCCAAAATTTAGTGGAAAGATTCCATCATCATTTGATGCCATTTTTCCATGAACTTTTTGAAGTCCTCTAACGTAACACAAAAGAACATTGCTCAACATAGTGCTGAAAGAGGAGTCCATCAGTTGGGAAGGCTCTGCAAATCCAACTGGGAAAAGAACTGCCTCCTTGAAGCAGAGTCATTCTTAATTGCACAGGTGGAGTAAAGCCTATGAGACCTTCATTTACTGATGTTGCTCAACTCAACACAAAAAGCAACAGCTGGAAACATCCCTTAGTAATTAGAACATGTGTATGAAGTATGAATAAAAAAAAAACTGGAGCTTGTAAAAAATGAAATGAAGGACTGAAGATTGTCTAGGTGTTTGTGAGCTAAATGGAACTAGCATTGGCCATTCTGAACTGGCGCTCACATGGTCACCACCTCTACTAGAAACAACAAACTGAAGATGAATGGTGTTGCATTACTGTTATAAAAGTATTTTGAGATCTATATGAAGAACAATGGTGATCACTGGTAGGTTAATATTAACACACTTAAGATAAGACCAGTTAATATGACTATTCTCAAATTTACTTATGAACTACAAATGCCAAAGATGAAGATATTAAAGATGTTTATGACCTGTTATAGTCTGAAATTGATCAAACATACAAACAGATGTATTGCTAATTACTCGTAATTAGAAGGTAAAGGTTTGAAAAGATGACCTTGGTGATAGAAATGATGATGGAGACTGCCTACTAGAATTCTGTAAGATAGTAAATTCAACAGAATACCCCCAGGGCGCGCCCCCCCCTCAAGAATACAACTGATGTACACAAAGATCAGACCAATTACACAGGAATCAAATCAACAATATTTGTGGAACTTGACAAGGCAGGAGCTCAATATTATCACTTAAGGTACATTCAGGTGCTAAATGCAGAACCGAACATCAATTGTTATACACAAGTTAAATGTTTACTAATCAGTGCCATCAAAAGCCAAAGGCCATTCAAAGACAGTGGAAAGCAAGAAAAGTCCAAAATGAACATCAGAAGAGATTTTCAAACTGGTTTGAGTGGAATATAGCTAAAATGAATGCAAGAAATGATGAAGAGAAATATGACAAACAATTTTATCAAAGGGCAAATCGAAAGGTAAGGTAAAGTATTTTGATGAAAAGTGCAAAGATCTGGAGTTAGAAAACGGAAAGGAAAGAGCATGATCAACATTTTCTCAAGGTGAAAGAACTAACAAGAAAATTCAAGCCTTGAATTGCATTACTGAAGGACTCTATGAGCAAAAATTAAATGATGCCAGCAAATATCAAAAGACAGAAAAATCAGTCACTGTACCATGTCAGTTTGGTGCTCAATCATTTCAGAAGGAAGGAAATGATCAGAACAGCTGTTAAGTCCTTGGATGGAGTATGACTACTTGACCCACAGACTAAAAGATCCATGCTTGTTTCCATTACAAGAAAAGTGATAACAAATGTGAAAATTACTGAGCATCATTACTATCACGTGAGCAAAATTTTGCTGAAGGTATTTCAAAAATGAGTGCAGCCATACATCACCAAGAAAGTGCCATAAGTTCGAGCCAGACTCAGAAGAGATATAAAAGATATTGCTGATATCTGAAGGATTTTAGCAGAAAACAGAAATTACCAGAAAAAGGCTTACCTGTTTTATCAACTACACAAAGCCTTTATGAATTGTAACAAACTATGAATAATTTTACAGAGGACGGGAACTCCAAAATACTTCATTATATTCACGGGGAAATCTATATATGGGTCAAGAGGTAGTCAGTCATTTGAACAGAACAGGGGAATACAGCAGTATGTGACAGGGCTGGAGCCTTTTGCTTAATTATTCAATCCGTATGCTATATAAATAATCCAAGAAGCTGCATTAAATGAATAACAAAATGGCATCAGAACTAGAAGACTCATTTACAACCTGCGATACGCAGATGCTTCCTGAAAATGAAGACAACTGGAGACACCCAGACTACTTATGAATTACACCTAAATGTGAAGAAAATGAACTGACCAACAACCAGTATCATAATGAAGGAATTGAAGTTGTCAATGATCTCATATTGCATCAATAATCAAAGTCCATAAAAGCAGCAGTCAGGAAATCAAATGTCATAATGCATAGAACAAAGATGCTTCAAGACCCTCTTTAGAGATGTGAGAAGCAAAGAAGTCACCTGGATAACTAAAGTACATCCCCTGACCCAAGCCATAGTCTTCTTGATCAGTTCATGATTCTGCAAAAGCTTGACAATAAAAAAAGGAAGACAGAAAACAGGTATGTCTGAACTGTGGTGCTGGCCAAGCAATAAAACCAGAATGCTCCTTACATGGTCAGACTTTGTCAGGCTCACTTTGAATAGGTCATCAGAAAAGATCAATGACTACAAAAAGACTGCACAGATGGTGCAGTGCAGTGAATTATTTAATGTGGCTCTTCTAGCTATAGTTTATAATTGTCCCCAAAGGACCTGGGTAGGTAAGAGCTGGGTACAGACGGGTCTGGGTAAGAGAAGTGGGGGGAAGATACTAATAGGGTATAGTTGTCAGTGCTTGTAAACAGGATTCATTGTGATCGCCATGCTATTGGGTATAAGATAAGCTACTGCAAAAACAGGAGGGCAAGAGCTAGGTGTGGAGATCATCCTCTGGACCCTTAGACCCTTGTGCAGTTAGCCTCCTTGATCAAGTAGTCAGTTTTGACACCAGTGGAGTGACAGAGGAGCAGCAACAGCAGAACCAGGAGTCAGAGTGGTGGCTTTTCTAGCCCACAGAAGAAGTAAAGTTGAATGCTTCTTGGCAGGAGGCTGGCTTGTGGAGTGGGGTGCTTCTGGGCACTTAATTTGGGGAGTAGGTTCACTGACCCAGGGAGCTTGAGCTGAATGCCTGTAGAGTGACTTGCCTCATGGTCATTTATTAGCAGCTCTGAAAGAACTTTGTAACATAACGAGAATAACTGTATCCTGAGCATTTTATTATTCTGCCCGGAATATTTCTCACCTGAATTATCACTCGCTAACTTACACAATATACTCATAATTATGAGCATTGCCTGTTCAGTTGTGTGGCCATTGTAATGAATTATAGAACCCAGCTGAAAAGTAGTGTTGTGTGAGACAGAGCAGATGGCAAAGGAGGTCAATGAAAATGAGGGAAATCCGTAGTGGGATGGATTGATCCAACAGCCTCAACAATGAACTTAAGCACCTCAATAATCATGCAGATGACAGAGGACTTGGCACCACTTCATTTTGTTTCACACAGGACGCCATGAGTAGTGGCCAACTGATTAGCAACTAGCAATTCTTTTTATACATTAATCAATAATTAGATGTGAATCAGTAAAATTTTAAAATCCCTGCATTAGCATAATACTTGGAGCATTCCTTTGTTGAATGAATACATGTATATATTAGGAATTTATCAACAAATTATAATGGAAAACAACTCTAACTGGCTGTTAAGCTTTTTTCATTGTTGCATGTTTTTTTTTAAAATTCAATGTCTTTCATAGGAATAAATTATAACAATAAAAAAGTTAAACAGAAAACATATTTGTTTCAAAAGTTTATTATTTGCAGTAGCTTTAAGGTAAGTTAAGCAGTGTACTACAAAAGGAACTCTAAGCTAAGCAGTCAAAATAATTACCTTTGTAATTTAAGCACCACTTCTAATTAAACCTGTGCAGTTAATGCACCTAACCTCTTTGTACTTGAGTTTTCTGAAGTGTGAATTTGTGTGGGACAGTTGAACTCTGCACTTCAAACATGGGACTAACAGTACTCACTTTTTTTTTTTTTGACGATAAAAACCAATTTATTTATTTATTTTTTCTTTTCTTTTTTAACAACAGTACTCACTTTGAGGAGACTCCATGCTCTGCAGCTCACCAGGATTGTGCAGTTGGCCACTGTGGTTAGATTTAGACGAGAAGAGCTTCTTATGATATCTACATAAAATGAGAAAGCGTGGAATTGGCCCCAGAAAGACTAGCGAAGTTATAGAAAAAAAGTAGGACCCTCTTCTACTTTGGTCTGCTTCCTTTGGGCTCCCCTTTCTTAGAGCCTACCTTACTTTTGGCCTTCTTAAATTTGTTGCCAGACTTCCCTCTTACCCCCATCACAAATATATTCCTTCTTAGAAATCAATATAACCCAATTAGAAATCAATATACTTGAGGTTTCTATATAGAGTAAGAAAAAGGGTCCTCAGAGTATAAAATACTGAGTTCCACTCTACCATTGGTAATATTTACTGTCAAAGAAAAATTTTAAAATTTCTCCACAGGATAGATATAATTTGATTATCTTCACAGCTTAAAAAAGAAAGTTTGATGGATTTTTTTGGGGGGGCATTATAAGGCTGTTTGAAAATATAGGTTAAAAAAAAAGAAAATATAGGTCAAATACACGTTTACTTGCTTGATAACCAAGCAAAGTTGGGTTTTTAAAAATATCACAACCCTAAACATGGGTATGCATATATATCCCAGAAATGCTCTATGCCAGCAGTTCTCAACCTGTGGGTAGTGACCCCTTTGGGGGGGGTCAAACAACCCTTTCACAGGGGTCGCCTAAGACTATCAGAAAACATAGAAATATTTCATGATATATAATTACACATCGTTTTGTGATTAATCACTATGCTTTATGTTCAATTTGTAACAAGGAAAATACATCCTGCAATATCAGATATTTACATTATGATTCATAACAGTAGCAAAATTACAATTATGAAGTAGCAACGAAAATAATTTACCGGTTCGGGGTCACCACAACCTGAGGAACTGTATATAAGGGTCACAGCATTAGGAAGGTTGAGAACCATTGCTCTATGCCATCCACTAGTCCTTTCCCAACCTCTCCATTGTCTTCTCTGGAAGATCACTTTCAACCTCTTCATCAGTCCCTTTCTCTTAAAAATATCTCCCTTCCCCACCTCCAACACACAAGGAGGCTTCTCTCTTGGGGCCCTCTTAGTACAGGCTGATTTAAATGTACTACCCCACATGAACCACAGGGTCAAAGAGGTGGGTTTGTGTTGTTTTTATTTCCCACCAAATGCCACTTTCAGGAGCCTGCTTCCACAGAAGCTTCTGTCTCCGAGGATTTATGCTGCTGAGGCGAACTACTGTCTACTATTCCAAACAGGCATTCACTAGCAGTCACATCAGTCACAGACTGCTCTCTGCTCTCAAATGCCTGAAATTAAAATGAACTCTTTCTGTGTTCCCATGGACAACCCATATAATATCCCCGCCTCTCAATCCTTCATCTCCAATAACTTCCTTCACACCAAGTAAGTCAGCTCTTCCCACAGTACCAGAAATCCCGTATCCCTGCTGGTAGGATCTTTAAGGCCTCCATCCAGACATTCTGCTCTCTGAGCATGCTAGGGCACAGCATTGCTAGATTAAATAGTTTTTCAGGTCATTTCAAAAAACTGGAATTGGGGGCTATTTGTCAGAAACTTTCCCATTCCAGTATCATACTCTTTTTTTCTGTGACAGAGAACGAGTTTACTAAACATCTGCTTCCAAGGACTACCTACACATATATTTCATCGGTGGTGTTGTAGAAACATTAAACAACTCAAGATTCCAGAGTCAAGTCTCTGTAGGTAGGAGTTTCAGGATTAGTAGCAGCATGTCACTCATCTATTATGATAGACAGTTCTCTGAGATAGTCACCCAATCACACCATTTTCAAGGTAGTTATGAGAACATATTTATATCTGCATGATTATTTTAATCAAGTTTTCAAAACAAATAAGAAAAATGTTAATTTACTTCACCTCAATAAGGATACTGTACCCTCTAAGGATTCAGTTACTGCAAACTGTTTGTCACTAACACTTTAAAAGAAGAAAAACAATTGTGAGAAGTAAAAGAAAAAAAAAACTTACTTTCCACATAGTCAAGTCATACTCAATTTATAAAAAATATCTTTGGGGAAAAAACTTTGGTAACATTAGGACATATATAGTCCATGACAAGGCTGACTTTTACCCAGATGTGCTTACAAAAGGTAAATCAATCTTCTGCAACATAAATTAACCTTAGTGTTGTAACTCAGCATTTATAATATCACTCTTTCAAAAAATTCTTGTATGGCTCTTTACTTCCATCAATTCAAATTCAATTTCTTGGCCTTTCCACCCTTCTTCAAAGGAACTATAAAATATAAGCCTCCTAATAATAAGTAATTATTATAAAACAAAATGCTGTAGAAATGTTAGCCATACATACAGTATGGCCATTTAAACCTCCATGCATTCACTATTCCTCTCTTCCGAAATAGTATTTACTTCTGTACACCTGTAAAACACTTAGACTTCCTTGAAATCCATGTTCAATACCACTTAAGCATTTAAAATTATCTCTAAGACCTTATATAATAACGAATTATATAACATTTGCTACTCTAGTTTGGGTCCCAGGGGAGTGCAAACAGTTAGGCACTTTATGAACAGTTCAAAATCTGGGGGTTCGAACCTATCCGGGGGTCCCAGTAGACAGCCTGGTGGTCTGCTTTCAAAATGTCACAACCTTGAAAAAGTCAATGGAGCACTTCTACTCTGCATATGAAGTCACAGGAACTGGAAATGACTGGACAGCAACTAATAACAACTAGTTGTTTCACATCCATACCCCTTATCTCAAGTAGATTATAAACTTTCTCTGAGTTGGGGGGAACTGACTGTAGGCGGTGATGGAGAACAGGATACAAAGATGCAGAAAAGAACATTAAGAGCACCATGTTAGATACAATGATTGAACCTAAGATAATTGTGTTGAGGAAAACATTTGAAATAAGTAGCAATACAGATGAATGTGTGTAGTCACTAACAGGAGGAGGTTCGAGTCCACTCAGAGACACTTTAGAAGCCTGGTGATTTCCTCCCAAACAACTGATCATCATACACCCATGGAGCACTCTTCTACTCTGACACAGATGGAATTCCCATGAGTCAGAACCAACTCAAGGGCAGCTGGTGGCACTGTATAAGTACAGCACACACAAAATGTGCTCATCCGCAAGAACTGTAAGGTTTTTATTTAACATAATTTCCATTAAAGGAGCATTATATTGATTAGGAAGGCTAAGCCAAAATATATACATCTTAGTATTTATTAGTTTTATTTCCTAAACAAAATAAAAGAATTAAGCCAATAAAAATGAAATGTCTTCTTTCAAGAATGGTCTTAGGAAATAAGCATAAGAGAAATAAGACTTCAATATAGCCTTGGGAGGTGAACCAGAGCGGAACAAGCAGGTCATGCTCTCATAGAAGCAACAGGAGGATAGATAAGATACTGAGTCTCTATCTGTGAGGATTTTTTTTTTTTTTCTTCCTTTTTCCCCTTCTTTTAAATTTTGTATGTCAGTGACTTTTTTGTTGTGGGCTTGTCAGTACTGCAGCCGTGGTCGCCAGGCTCTTATGAGCCGCTCTGGCGCTGTGCTGTCAAAGCCAATCCCAATTTTATTCACACATTGTAA